CGCTTCTCTTAATGACAAACTCGTAAATAATAATAAAATAACAATAAGAATAACAAAAATAATAACCATAATTTTCTTCGCCATAAAGCTCCCGTTATAGATGATGCAAGCAAGTTTTCCAAATCGCTGGCAATGTTACAAAACAGCAAGAGTTGCAGCAGCAGCCTAGCAGGGTCTCCGGAGGCAGAGCAGCGCGCGGGAGGAGTAGCCCAAAGCTTTAGACATGATGAAATATACCGTGGCGGGGCGGGGCGGGGCGTCACGCTGCGCATTTGTCGCATCCGCCCCGCGCGCGGGCGGGCGCCCCATTCCATTACCCCCACCCGGGTGGCCCAGCCGGGCCCAGCAGCCCAGCGCACGGTCATTGTGAATCCTTGTCGGGGCCGCGCGATCAGTTTGTTGCTCTCTGTATTCCGACCGCGCGTCGTTCTCTCCGCCGCTACTTCTCATCCTCGTCCTCCTCCTCCTCGCCGTCCTCGTGTCCCTCATCCTTGGAGACCCCAGCTGCTGCTCTAAGACCATTTGGTCCGGCATGCCAGCAGCAGATGCCGCACCTCCCAAACCTCTCGTTCACGCCCATAGCTCCCCCCTTCTTCGCTTCGGCTGCTGCTGTTCACCTTGACCCGCCTATACCCCTCGCGCGCGCTCCATCTCCATGCCGCCGCCGCGACCTTTGACCTTGACCCCCCTGCTGCGCTTCTCGCTACCCCGCCCGGGGTCTGCCGCCGGCTGTACGGGGGGCCGCCGCGTCTTCACGAGGTGTCCTACGACGCGCTCCAAGGGGACTTTAGAAGCGCGCGACAACGCTTAGCGGCCAAAGTTTGCTAATTTCAAATCGTTTGCATTTCATTCGGCGGGTAGGTCCTCGTCCTCCTTCTCCTCCTCCTCCTCTTCCTACTCCTCCTTTTGGCCCTTTCCATTTCAACTTTGTCGCCGACTACCGCACCGCCGCCGAGCGGCATCGCCTCTGTTATGGAGATGAGGAGGAGGGAGTGGAGGTCTAGCTGTTATCTGGGAGTTACCGCAGCGTGGCCTGGCGCGGCACAGGGAGCACACTTGCTAGGGGAGGGACGGGAAGGGAGGGGGGGGGCGGATAGTTTGCAGCCATATTGCAGTGACCTCGAGGCCAATACTCAGCGGAACAGTCCCGGAGCGGGATTCTAATCAGCCAGGAGGCTACACCACACCACCGCCAGGGCGGGGAAACAGCACTGCTGAGTAGTTTGTAGGGCGTGGTGGTGCGGTGCGCGTAGAGCGAGCCGAGGCCGAGGGGGTGTGCATCCGGGAAACCATATACAACAGCAGAAAAGTCCCACTAAAAGACAGCGCAGCGGTGCAACGTAGTCATAGTGTTACAAAGTGTGAGACTAGCTTTATTTTTCATAATGTTGAAAACAGTCAAAAAGGGCACTCCAGCTGTCGTGTGCGTAGAACAATACTGCGCTGCTTGTTCGGCTCTTGCAACGCAATGTAAGACGCTTCGCCACAGCTTTTCATTTGTCTGTGTATGTTGAGGCAAGGGTTGAGGGAATTGGGGTAGGTAGGGGCCTAT